GCTGCCTTATAGAACTACAGCTTCCAGGCTTACCATTAATATGGCGAGAAGGCGAAGCGCACCTGACGGACCCAAACATTAAGGGTAGGTAGGCCAAAATGAACGGAAACGAACAACATATATATATATATCAAACCGTAATAAAATATTGTTTAGCATTCTTTAACCTTAAAAATGACGTCATATAGCGAGTTTTATTAAGATTTGCTGGTTCTGGGTATGTCAGTAATTCTAAAAAGTGAAGAAGCATACTTTTTATATGATTTTTTGAGGCAGCATAAAAATTTAGTAGTTAACTCCTCTACAAATAGAATCAACCCAAATATTAAAAACGCAAGAAAAATACGAACCACGATATGTGAGATACAACTGCGGGGTGATGAATGAATAGGGCGGTTGTTTCCAATCATATTGGTGTGCCCGTCCTCGGTTGGCGTAGCCGAAAAAAGGACATGCACAAATGGAATCACACTGACCAACCACTGAAGATTGCAAAAGTCAAAACAGCGTCTGACACTAAAACAGCGATAATAGGCAAAATGATCCGAAAACAACCAAGCTGAAGCAACATTTGTCTAACATTTTTGTATTGTATATAAATAAAATTTTGCATATTTTATGTTTTACTGTATTTGACTGTTTTTTAAATATTTTCAATCCACTTCTATACCACAAACAGATTTTTTTAAAATATTTAGGTGTTTACTAAGCAATGTGAAATATGTGGAATTAAAGGTAAGTAGTAAAAGTGGTTTTAGTTAAATTTATTTCAACTGCTTTTTAGGTGTCGAGAGTTTTCTACCTTAATTAATACATGCATTTCAAATTTTTTTTTACAATCTTTGAATTAATTAAGGTTTTTATTTGAGATAAAAAAGTCAGTGCCACGAGCGGGATTCGAACCCTCGATCTTCGGCTAGATACGCCGCTGCTCTACCACTTGAACTATCGTGACTTCTATCCACTCGGACACTAACTTCCCATCTCAACCCTACCTTTTGAATTTTCCCTCCTTTTTGCCATTTTTCAAATGTGTAATCTATTTAATTCTCGGCGACAAATGAAATGGCCACGGAGAGCTTTAGAGAAGGTATACTTCATTTAAACTTATTAAATTCACTTGTTTCGTGGTCCGCTTGACCAATTAATATCTTTGAATTAATTAAAGTTTTTAGTTGAGATAAAAAAGTCAGTGTCACGAGCGGGATTCGAACCCACGATCTTCGGCTAGATACGCCGCTGCTCTACCACTTGAGCTATCGTGACCTCGATCCACTCGGAAAATCCGAAATTCGAATCCCGCTAGTGACACTGACTTTTTTTTATCTCAACTAAAAACCTTAATTAATTCAAATATATTAATTGGTCAAGCGGACCACGAAACTGTGAATTTTTTTACAATTGTTTAAGATTCTTATTAGAGCTTACAGATGCATTTTGTCAATACTAGAGCAGTGTCGAAAGAAAAGTACCTGAAATAGAAACATGGCACCAAAGTATGGAAAATACATCTAAATTTCATAAGGCGAAAATAATTGCGTACGAGTGAAACGCGACGAATTTTTCAAGAATTCTTGCTTGACTTTTTTGTATCAATCCCCCAGTAAACGAAGAACGATTTATTTTCACAAAAAAGGCGATAGCCAAATTTTATCGTTGATGTATTATAATTTAATGAGAAACTATTTTATGTTTGTTTTCTTGGTATTGTAAAATTTCACGATGATTAATGAGCTGCGGATTGTTGAATGGCCAAGGGCATTCGTCCTCCATTAGGATTTTTACGATAGCCTCTCGGCTCCGCATATCGGCCGAAACAGCTTTTATCTGTTGCTTAAATTAAATTTTTAACGACCCAATTAGTGAAAGAATGTCGTTTGTCATGTGTGGACGAATTCGGTCCACTGGGACAGGAGGTTTTTCTCTCTTTTTAACAGGTTGTTCCAACGATTCGTTCATAGAACCAGGACGGTTCGAGGCGATAAAATGACAAATATCGTCCACTTTTTCAAGCTAAATTAAACCGACAGCTTTTAATTTCCTCACCCCGGATAATTGGCGCCGAGCCGAGAATAGAGCTTGCAAAATATCAGTGAAATCCTACGCGGTGTGAATAATTTGAATTTTTATTCTGAAATAACTTTATGAATTTTTTTTAACTTTCACCAGAACCCCTTTGGGGGGACATGTTTTATTCGGCGAATGCGATCCGAACACTTTAGCTGTGATGATTGGAAAAAAAAACCCCCAGAGACAATCCTCGATTTTATCATATTTATAAACTAATGAGGATGTCAGAAAACTGACTGGTTATAAAATTGTAACCAACAGCTTAAAGAAAATTTCACACGGAAAAAAGACCTTTTGGCGACTTAAAGTAAAAACAATGTGGGCCAATATTGTGTGCCAACAGCTTTGCCAGCCATGGCACTTTTCCTTATTCAAACCTATGAAATTCGTGGACCACAATATGTTTACTGAGTTAATAGTTTATAGTAAAAACATAAAACAAAAAACAAAAAAAAGCAATTGCATCGCGACATTACGAAATATCGGATACTTTTTTTAATGGCCTTAAATATTCGGCCAAATGGATTAATTATTTTGGAGGCAGTTTTGGGATTTCTAACATGTCTACCAAAACAGAAAACTATTGGACAAAAGTTCAACAAAAAAGTTACTAAAACTTGGGTAAATCTAAGCATTACATCATACATAGAATACATGTATATAATAAATGCATAGGAAGTGTATATCTCAGAAAAAGCTTAGCAAAACCCACGGGCAGGAAGGTTTCGAAATATTTATTTAGAAATCGTGAGATGCGGTCTGGTGTGATGTAGGTTTCAGAAAAACATTTTCTTTATCGTGCCAACGTTTCGATCTTTATTGAGATCATCTTCAGGGCCTGGGATTTACAAACATTGTTTACATATTACAATTACATTTTGGATGTGGAAAAGTGAATTTATACAATGCAAAATATATTTTATATATTCAATCAAAGTATTTCTACTCACTCAAAGTATTTTGAAAATCCAACGTATATAAACACAAAATAGCAAAATCTCACTGGCACTCTCGACACGACACGCAAGAATGACACAATTACACAGAAGACAAACACTTTGAGTGAGTAGAAATACTTTGAGTGAATATAAAAATATATATTTTGCATTGTATAAATTCACTTTTCCACAACCAAAATGTAATTGTAATATGTAAACAATGTTTGTAAATCCCAGGCCCTGAAGATGATCTCAATAAAGATCGAAACGTTGGCGCGATAAAGAAAATGTTTTTCTGAAACCTACATCACAGGTGTGATGATCACACCAGACCGCATCTCACGATTTCTAAATAAATATCGATTAACGGCCACTAACCACCACACGTTTCGAAATATATTGGACATTAGGTCATATCCAGAGAATTGTGTGTTTGTGAATGTAGCAATTATCTTCTTATTAAATGATTTATTTTTTACGAGGGTATTTCAACTAGGAGGTTATATTAATCCTCGGGGTTCCGGTGTTTTTGAAAATGGCTGCTGGATTCGAACCCTGGACCTTTAACTTACAGTGATGAGCACCATGTCAACGCCTAAACCGTTGCTGCCAACGACGCCCCTTCTTTTTAATTTCTACTTACATATTACATCACTATTAGACAGAAGATAACTAACAGTAAAAATAACAATTAATGTAAATCATTAATAATTCAGCAATATGTAATGATAATAATTCACAAGCGCATCTGGTTACCAGGTCAATCAGTAACGTGGTCTTACACTAGTTAGGTGCAAATACGAATAAATAAATATAAATACAAATAAAAATATAAATACGAGGAAAATAAATAACATGACAAGCATTTCTGCATTCAAATGTTTATGTTGCAGTTCTTGCAAATTCGTGGAAACAATCATACGGTTCAGTGCTACCCGAAGCGAGTAAGGAACTCAAAAGGTTTCTCAATGCCGTGATAAGTCCATAAGGTTCATATATTTAACAAAGCTTAATTTTTTCGCAGGAGAATAACAAATGCTCCAAATTCTCCGCTACTCCACATCTTTCGATTTTATAAAGTAGAACCGCAGATAACACGAAGGGCTCTTAAGCCTAAGACCGTAGCGAAAAATGCTTTTGCCCTAACTCCATTTTGAAAACGGTAATACTTCCATATTGTAGCCGCTTCGAATATATCAAATTTAGGTTCATCGCCAGGGAGAATCTTTACAGCTACAGTCTCTTCATCGTAATCTTATTTTTTTTTAATTTTAAATTTACATTTCTATCCCTCGTGTTAGAGCTTAATCACAAACAGATTAAAGTGTTCATTAAAATTGGCGAGGTTGAAAGTAACAAAATGACTGACAAGACCGAATTTATGCAAATGATCAACCACGCTAGGAGATCAATGAAACATCTCCGATTACCGGACTGATGAACTTTTTATTAAAGTGTATTTTTAAAATAAATTTATCTAGGCAAACCAAATAAGTTACAAGCAATTAACAATCATTTTCAAACAATAATACAGCATTAACCTATAAAATTTTTCTTTTTCCATCGTAATTAATTAAAACTGATTATCCACGCGACAGAAGTGTTGGAGAAATGAACGTACTGAGTGAAAAGATAGTTATGGAATCTTTAAACAAGTTTGACTGGTTTTCATAAAATCCGGTAAGTAAACCCCCGGTACTATTTTATGAGAATAAGGAGGAAGAAAACGAACCTATTAACATGGAAAGAACTATTCTACTGCTTGATTTCTTTATGCAAGGCTAACCGGTGGGTGGTGCTTTCACACGTTACTTGTCAGTTAACTTGCCTTGTAGTGAATTAGTGTTTGTAAATCATCTTTAAGTAAGGATCTTCGACCGTTCTTGCATTTACGGTAATTATTTCCCGTTTGTCCTTTCCGTCAGGCATATCCACTTTTCAGAAATGGTTTTTGCACAATTAAATTTATAATAAAAGATAGAAGACAATTACCTGATTTCCGGTCATGGCTTGTGTGCAAATAAGGCGAAAAAGCCGAACCCCACAAAGGATGCCTGACGTTGTTGCAGGTGCCGTCGTAGCTTCTGTACGGCGAGGGGTAACAGCCGTCGTGCTTCACCACACAGAATACACCGACAATCCTGTTAACATAATTTTTTTTCATTTATTTGATATTTACAACTACAAACATTGTATTAAGTAAATATGTTCATATATGTTGAATTTGTCATTTGAGTGCCTGTGGCAACACTCCTTCACACTGAAATCTTTTCAATCTTCACTCTATGAGAAGGTCTTAAGACCACTTTTCAATCGTCTGGAGGATTTTCAGGCAGGGCTGGAAGTGATAACTGTCGTACTAATAGGTTATTGTGTGTGTTCAGTGTTTGATTTTTTATAGCGGGTTTTGATAAATTCGTGTACAAACGGGATGTGTAGGTCGTTATGAATAGCGTAATTTGAAACGTAAAAAGGAGCATTTATAATTTGACGGATAATTTTAGGTTGGATTGATTAGAAAGGTTAAGAATTAGAATCCTTGGTTGACCTCCACACTGCACAACCATACGCCCAGAGAGGTCAATCATTGTCTTATAAATTGAAAGTTTGTTTTCAAGGTCCAATTTTGGTCGTGAGTCAAGTAGAATTTTTACTAATTTATAGCGTCGGTTTGTTTGCTGTCTTTTCAGCCTTTCGTGGGGAGTTCAAGACAGTCGTTTATCCATGAAAAGTCCAAGATAATGCAAGGGAGGCAATGGGAGTCCATTTGTATTCACTCAGGACAAATAATTTTAAGTAAGGTAAAATTTATCTGTACGCTTTTCGTTAGGTTTAGCTTCATTCTCCACTTTCTGAACCATACCGTTAATTCATTCAGGTGTAAGTGTTGAGTGTTAATTGAGGAGAACGAATTACGTGTAAAATTAGCTGGATCAATAGCGAATGTATATGTTGAAATGTAGGAATATCTGCAGTGTATATTGAAAATAGAAATGGGCGAAGTACGCTTCCCTGAGGAGCACCCGCCCTAATGCGTACATAAGGTGAGAGTTCAGTTCCCTGATGAACTTGACAAAATCTGTCCCTCAGAAAAGATCTCAGTATGAGATAGTACGTATACGTAGGGAGGGTGTTCTTCAGTTTCCAAAGGAAGACCGTGTGCCAAACCCGATCGAAGGCGATATGAGGTAGAAATTTTTTTAAAATTATTTGACTATCTTGTATAATAAGAAAAAAATTATAATTCACGTATTTATTTTTTTTACAAATTTATATTACTAATATGATTAACAGTAACTCTGAGAGACAATATCCCAATAGGGTTTTCTTTACAATGTATAATATACAAAGTTACACACCATAAAATAATAAAACTACACAAACAATATTTTCAAAACTTAAGCTAAAAAACATCTTGCTGTTAATATATCATTCTGAAACTAGTTCAAGTCCACAGTTGCAGTAAGCTTTGCAATAGTTAATTGCACTAGCATTAACTAAAGAATACATATTCATATTAAGAAGTTCACCTTCACTATTCTTCCTCAACTTTATATATTCTAACATACCTCTGAGAAATAACTTAGTCATCTGTAGATATATTTTTTTGCGAAAGTTCGCAACAGCAGAGGTCATAAAAACCCTCAGGGTGCCGGTGGTTTTGAAAAAAAAGCCCATTTGTAAGTATGCCGGGTTCGAATGCAGGGCCGCTGGATTCGAACTCGGGACCTTTACCTTCCAATGATGAGCGCCGTGTCAACGCCTAAACCGTTGCGGCTACAGACGCCCCTCATCTATAGATAATTGTTCAATTTTGTATTAAAACTCAGTGGTAAGACCAGTTGGATAGAAAACACTCAGTTCTTTTCGTCTGCTTGCCTTATCTGGGATAATCTAAAAGTTATCCATTGTGACAGATATATTGGCAGAAAGCTAATCAAAGAATTTTTATAAATAGATAAAGCTCTTGTAAGAATAGGAATTATTAGATCTTATAATCGAATATTATTTATTATTTTAAGTCATTTTTAGTAATAATTTTTTTATATGACAGTTGTGGATTTAAATTTATGAATATTTGTGTGGTGTTTAGTGATAAATACTTTGAATTTAAAATTTCTAGCATTGTATAAATTCATTTTTTCCACATCCTACATGTATTTGTAAAATTTGAACAATGTTTATAAATCCCAGGCCCTAAAGATGATCCCAAATAAAGATCGAAACGTTGGCACGATAAAGAAAATGTTTTTATAAAACCTACGTCACACCAGACCACATCTCACGTTCTTCAAATAGTAATTTATGAATATCGTGAGATTTCTCCGTGAGGACAGGTCAGCTTGGTATGGAACCTGGAGTTTGGTCGTTCCGATCATTTTGGTCTACCTATTCGGCATTTCGTCATCTACAGTGTTGAATCTGTACGATTTTTATGAAGTCAAGCCTCTTTTATAAGGTCGTGAGGGTGGGATGCGTGTGTGAACGTTATTTTCATTTGTTGGTGCTTTTGGTGGATTAAGTACGTTTTTTGTTTTATTGTTATTATTGTTCAAGTCGGTTTTAGTTATATCGGCCCTTTTTCTTTGTAATTGGTCTAGTGTTTTTAATGGTGAAAACGATGTGAACTGCTGTTAATGTTTGTTTATGAGTTTTTTTGGTGTTATTATGTGCTACTTTTGTACATTTCTATTTTTCCAGTATGTTCATTTTAAGTCCTTTTCATACTTCGTGTACTGGTGAGTCTGGGAGCTCTTCACGCACGACAGCTTCTCGACTACCCACTGATGCTGCCACCTTTTTTTTTTACCACATTCTTTATTGTTCGTTTAGCATCAGGTCGGATGGTAAGGTCTGTAGTTTGAGCCGGTCCGTGTTAACCTAGTAAATTATTAATTATCATTCAAAGTCCTGATGAAAGGGATTTATTTCTGGAAAGCTCGGCGAAGTAAAAAAGATGTAAAAATTATATTATTAATATTTTAATTGATCTGTATCGATATTCATTAATAATTATGTTTTTTTTTAAATTTACAATTTTATTCATTTTTATTCTGCTTTCCAAAAACGCAATTATATTATTATTACAGATTTTATAAGTAGATTGTACTTTGTCATATCCAGTATTTAGAAAAATAATGTTTACAATATGTAGTGGGAAATTAGCATAATTGCCAGTTGGACCAAACAAGTAGCCTATCGGCCTTGAAGGTATAAAAGTCGTGATTGATATCGACCGCAGAGTCATGCGGAACGGCGTAAAAGAAGGTTAAGGAGAAATTTTGTGTAATCATTGATTAACCAAAAGTAGCCTGTGGGCAAGAGGATAGGGCACACTGGATAGGCGGAGGCACCCGTATAATTGCCTCGGTTTTGCAGGTCCTCACTCTCTCCCTGGCTCGGTAGCTGAAGACTTCAAATGGCACAGTTTAACCTGGCACGTGCTACTCAAGGACTGGAGTGAAAGTGAATGCCAAGTTCAGTGGCCTAGTCCCGACGAGATAGCATGTCTCTAACTACGGAAGCGTTTCCAGCTTTTTCAGTTTAAATATTATATATGTAAAACAAAATCTGCCTTTAAATAAATTTTTTAATCTTTTTTTTTGTCATTGGTTGTTGAATGACCTTTTATAAGAAAAATTCTTTATATACAATTTGAAAATATTGTTGATTTTTGTAGGATATATGTGTGAGTTCTACCCCTAGAGGTAAATTTAGAAACGTGTGTGATGCAATATAGATTAATAAGGCAGCAGATCGTAAGACAAGGAAAATCAGGTTCATGGGAAGCAAAAGGGAAATTTTTTGATTGAATGGGAAATAGTATCTTCCTGTGTTATGGTGAAATCTGATCGTATTTGCAATACATGAAGATAATCAACTTCAATATCCTTCTTCAAATCTAACTATTTTAAATCTTACTGCTAGTCGGAAAAATCCAATAATTCCTTTTTTTTTTACCTTTCGGACTCTTGGCCCATCTTCAGCAGCTCAGATGCGTTAATTCTTGCCTAATACCTCATAAACCAACGGACAGTCCTTCCAACAAACTTTTATTAAGAGATCTTTCAGCCAAGCTGGATTGAGTCGTCCAAGTCCGTTGGTTAGCCAGGTATTAGGTGATTTGGGCTGCTGAAGACGGACAATAATCCGAAACATCCAATAAATAAACGGATCACGGATTGCTTAGATTTTTGAATATTCCTCTATACTATAACCGTGGATAATGGTATGACGTGAGTGCAGTAGAATCCACAAAGGGTTTGAAGTGATTTAAACATGTCCTCTCTTGCCAGATTTAATTAAAGAACATGACGAATGAAAAATGACAATATTATGTTTGACCAGAGTTGTAGAACTTATAGTGAACATGAAATACCTTTTAATGGGTGTACTTATTGAAGCGAAACGTTAAAAAATATCTCATCTTTGACAGGAACGAAATATCCACGTTTTTTAAAAGAAAATATAAATAGCTTATTCGATAGATTAAAAAATCAGCTAATGATGATGTATTTTGTTGTAAAAAAAAATTAATATCGCCATATTTTTTTCATAAACTATTGGTTTAGAGTTTGTAATGACCAACATCCTTTGATTGTCTAGATAATCCCAGTAAAATATTTTATGGAGAGGATTGTCCTTTTCGAGAGAGTTAATGCACATTATTTTGTATCTCACTGAAGGGGAAACTGAAAGGAATCATTCCCAGTTGGCTAGAGTAACGATGAAAATCCGCTTTTCTGAATGGTGGAAAAATGTAAAAGTGACCTTCGCTCAAGACAGGACGGCAATTAATTTACTCCGTTGAACAAAGGGCGGCGACAATTTGCGACACGCCAGCTTGTAAAAACAACATGAGGCTGTTGACATTTTGAAACCCTTCCAGGCCGAGGTGAATCATTGTCACACTAGGTACATTTCACAATAGCCTTTTCCTTCTATTATTTGTAATGGGGATTTTGAGAGGGAAATAAACTGTCAAACGCAAGTAAGGATGTATTAGAAAGGCCTCAGAAGAAAGCATTGTCCGCTAATAGAATTTAAATCGACCTTCTTGGCACGTCCGAGGGTACGAATCGAGGGCCAGGTTCGGAATTCCCTCGGAGAGGATTTCGCCTCTGAATTGAAATAATACGAA